ACAGAATGTTCCCCAAGTCAATATGTTTGTTACACCATACTTTGAATAGCACTGCTCTATGGGGCTGAAGGTCATGGATTTAATCCAACCACATCTACCTCTTACTTTTTGAAGTGGAAGGTTGTTCTTAGTTTGAATTCCTTGAGGTGTTGGAGGGGAAATCAGTTGGCATGGAATCCTTTGAAGCACTGAGGGAGAGCCTTTCTAAGCAAAGACAACCATCACTTGCTAGAGTGCTTGGGTCAAGCTGAACAGAGAGGAAGTATCTTAAAGGACTTGATCTGGGAGATTCTCACCCCAGTCTCCTAATGGTAAACAGGGTGGGTCGATGACTTTGTTTAAAGTCCTCATTCATCTTTGGAAAATTTGCTGTTGTGGGATTCCATCCACTCTGCATTTTTGACTATGTATTATTTCAGAAGCTGGGATGGTTAGAGTTTGCAGGAAGGTGTAAGATATGGCTAAAATGAGCCTTTCATATAAGTTAGATACCAAATATGTCTCAAGCACCCTAGGTTATAAATGTCTTTCCCCACTGGAAACGCATGAGAAGAACTTCAAGGTTAGAAGATTTTTGCTTTAGGATTTTTCAGTCCCTCGGTTCTACTCTCTAGACCAGCCCCTTCAAATGAATCATGCAGGTCCTGACTTTAGACACAGGTAAGAGACATACAGAAGGTCATGTTTGTTCATGAAAGAACCAGTATAGAATTCAAGTCCCATGTCTCCTTTCTCCTAATTTTTGTCCACTGTCATGCCATGTTTTGTAATGACTATTTGTTGTAAGATCAAAAAGTACAGTTTTGGGAGTGGTTAAATTAGTTTTATTCTCTTTTTTTATAAGATTTTTTTTTAAAGATTTATTTATTTATTTATACAAGCACTGGGTACAGTCAGAAGCACAGGAGAGTGAGAGAATTCACCAGAGCCAGAGCCGGGAAAAGAACAGGCAGATGGATGGAAATACACTGCTGAGGGGAGCAGAGGGCGGCAGCAGAAGTATGTCACGCCATGTGGGACCCTCACGGGGGGCTGGGGATCAAACCGGTGCTGCAGAGGCTGCGGGCAGCTTCGCAGCCCAGTGCTCAACCACTGCACCACCAGGGGAGGCCCCTAGTTTTATTCTTTTAAAATAGAATTTTAAGACATAAATCTTAATAACCTTCAAAAATAGGAAAATACTTCATGAAAAATTATCATAAATATGAAAAGACCAAACAAACTGTTTGAATGACAGTTTGAAAGTTTTTGCCTTTCTAAATCTTTTATAGTCCTTAGCCTACCAAATAGCTCGAAATAATATATATTTAAAAAATAGAAACAGTGTTTCTCTCTTATTTCACCAATTATGTTAAAGGTTAATTAGAATATTTGTAAAGTACTCTGAGCCTCTTAGCAAAAGTTGGTAAAAGTGAGAAGACCTCACTTAGTAAATCTAAATCCATCCAGATTGTTTTTTAAATCTTGGAAGGGCAACAGGCTTAGATAAGTTCATTTTGTCTGTTTAAACCTGATTATCTGGCCATTCTGATGTTGATGAAGTATTGTTGGCAAAGAATAAGCATTTTTTTAATCTAAAATCTGTTATAGGAGAGCATTACTGTCACCTTAGCATGCCTATTTTTTCTCTTTTTCCTATAATACATGCAAGTCAACTGCTCACGGGGGAATGACTCTCTGTGTGTCTGTCTGCAGTTAAAAACTAGCTACTGAAAGCAGCAGTGATAACCAGCATATGTGTTTATTGTGGCCAAGCACGATTCGAAGTGCCTTGCATATATTAATTCACATAATTTTCACAGCGATCACATGAGAAAGATCCCATTATGAATTCAGATGAGGAAACAGAGCCTCATGTGAAGAAATGAATGATGAAGCCAGGATTTGATCTGAGCAATCTGGCTTCAGGGTCTGTCTTCTTAACCAATTGGAAATCAACGATTTGTTTTATTACACATAACATCAACCCCCTGACTTAGCTCATGTTTTCACGGTGTTGACGAATTTTCTAGAGAAATAATTTAGCAGTCAGGAGCTGGTGCATCTTTCTATTATAACCAGAGCTTTTGCAACCCTGGTAGATATCACATGACATGTGGGGATGAGTTACACGAAGTTAGGCAACTTACATTTGTTTGGAGGAAAAAAAAAAGTGTTTTAAGAAGTGCAGTACTTGGAATCTAGGAGAAAATATGGGTATTGTTTATCTTTTATCCTTTATATATATATATATTTAAAAGATTGATTTATTTATTTATACAAGCACTGTGTACAGTCAGAAGCGTGGGAGGGTAAGAGAATTCACCAGAGCCAGAGCAGGGAACAGAACAGGCAGACTGATGAAATACACTGCTGAGGGGAGCAGCGGGCGGCAGGAGAGGTCTGCGCGCCATGTGGGACCCTCACCCGGCAGCCGGGGATCGAACCGGTGCTGCAGAGGCTGAGGGCAGCTTCACCACCCAGCACTCAACCGCCGCGCCACCAGGGAGACCCTATATTTTTTCCTTTAATAATACTTTGTATTCCACGTAGTTCTGTTGTTTTCAGTGGCAGAATTTCTGCTATACGTGTCAAGTATATATAAATTCTGGAATGGAATATGGTTTTAAGACTGATAACACCTCCAATTGTATGGGTGTATCCCTATAATATTTCATTTTTATTTTGATGCACATTATTTATCATGTTATATCTTCAGGTTACAAGGCTTCTACAGTGACGATAATCCTACTATTCATTACAACAGGAAACTGCAACTTTCTTCAGACCAAAATGTCTAATGATTTTTTTTATATATATCCATGCTTACATGTTTTTTTATACATATGTCCACAATGACATGCATATACATACATATTAGTGATAGTTGACCTGTTACCTTATCAAAGGTGATCTTACAAATGTGGTAGATATATGCATATTAAAAAAATGAAATGCAAAAAGCAATAATAATTTAAGATCTCCAATTGACTTTTACTTTAGGTAAATCTGATTAAAGAAAAACCTTCCAATCAAATCACAACATGTTAATCAGTTATGCAGAAATCCAAATGTATAGAGCACATAATCAGAGATGAACCGTTGCCCTTAAAGTAACTATTTCTTCCAAACCATGGTTAAAGATTTCATTTCTCCAAATAATAATTCTCCACAGTGTATTAAAATCATGACTTAATTGTCAAAAATCACTTTGGAGGAAGACCCAGAAGAGAGCATTTCCAATATAGTGAGGGCCTCTGTCTTTCAAATGTGTACAGTATGTTCATTGCAGCTGATTATGCTCTTATCTTGAATTGATAGAAAGTTATGACATTTGTAGAATCTCCAAGGTTTTAAAAATTCATGTGTTCCCTTTAAAAAAATTCCCTCAGTGGGATTTAAACACCTTTGCTAAGACATTTTTCATGTTTTTCTCCTGTCTAGAGTTAAAAATTGGTCTATTACAGGCAATATACCTGACTTTGAAAAAGGTTAACTTTAATTGACCTCATGGATTTCTTCCCAAACAAATATATATATAACCTACAGGGACTTAGCATTTTGGACACTGATGGTAAAATTAGCTGGATCTTTCAAACACAAGTTCATAGCTTTCTATGAAACAGGCCCTCCTATGCAGACAAGTTGAAGAAATGCCTTTCATCTTGTGCTTTTTATGTGACTATTTCTGTCTGAAACTTGCCTCCCCCAATGGCTCATTGCTTCATTTCTATTGGTATGACGCTCAGGTACTTTCTTGAAATGTCTTTCGGGTTGATGGTAGCACCTAACCACTCTCTGGAAGGAGATTATAAAGGTTAGAAAGTTCCTTATTCCCACAACAGGTCAAAAGTTCCTAGACCATGAAAGGCAGAACTGGTGATTTTTTAAAACCTATTTTATCCAAGTCGTTTTAGACTGAATCATGATCTAATCTGTGTAATCCTCTGGCTTGACTCCAGGAGGAGAGTGATTTGTTACAAGGCAAGATTCTACTGAGAAGCATTTCTTACATGAGTGTTTTCTATTCATTCTGGCTCATGAGGACTCTGGACATACAAACCACTTCCTGTCTGCACCACCCATGCTCCTTGGGCACTTGTCATGTTATATTTAACAGGTCTGTGAATCTCCTGTATCTCTACTGCTATGCACACATTTTTTTAAAAAATATTTATTTATTTATGCATACAAGAACCAGGGTATAGGCCAGAGGTTCAGGGGGTGAAAGGATTCACCAGAGACAGAATGGGGAGCAGAACACATGGATCTACTGAAATATATTGCTGAAGGGAGCAGTGGGCAAGACAGGAGAGGTTTGCTGTGCCATGTGGGTAGCTCCCTCACTGGGGATCAAACTCATTTTGCAGTGACTGGTGATAGCTTGATAGCATTGTGTCTGTAACCCCTGTGCCACCAGAAAGGCCCCTCTGTACACATTTTTATACCCTTTCTCTTCCTATCTCTTATAGTGTCAACCTCAAGAACTGGTTGTACTGGAGGTTCTGCACAATATGTCCATTAAGTTGAACTGCCACTCTCTGCTTCTGAGTTGAATTCCCAGGATAGACTTACCTTCTGAAAACAGTTCATCTTTAAATGCAATGTATGTGCTCAGAATGGGCTTTTGAAGAGAAGGTGTGGCTTTGTCCCTGAAAGTCTTTGGGAACTTGGGCACTGGCTGTCCCTCTCGATTTTTCTGTTAGTAGAAGGTGCACCATTTGGAGGTCACTGATGGTAAGGAAGCTGACAAAAGCCCAACCTAGGCTTTTTAAAATCCAGAGTCATTGAAAAAAATAGGACTAATACCTTGGGGTAAGGGTTGAATGCTAATGGTAATATCATTTGTGATAATGAAAGTAATATCTAACTCTTTTTATTATTTACTATTTGCCAAGTAGTACTGCAAACACGTTACCTTAGTAAAGACATTTAACCCTTAAGATAATTGTATGGATTATATTTTATCTTCAAGTTATAAACAAGGAATTTAAAACATACAGATTTTAAATAATGACATTGCTATGGTCTATATCATGAATAAGCAGTGAAGTCAGAATTTGAACTGGCTATCTGGCTCCAGAGCCTACAGTCTGAAGCACTTCACTCTAGGTTTTAATTTATATGCCAGCATTTGATGCTAGTTAGATCTCCAGGGAAGATTGGAATCCCCAAACTCTGAATAATGGACTACAACCATTGTTTTCTTTGAATGATGGTTTGCAAAGGACATTGAGAAATCCTTTCTTTAAGGTCTCACATAGTTCTTAGACTTTTTTTTTTTTAATGACAATACTTTCTTCATCTAGGAAAAAAGGTGATTTGCTAAACTGTTACTGTGAGAATTGAGTTTGGACAATTCTATTTCTCCTAAAAGATAATTAATGACAATCAGGAGAACTAATAGAATATTTGTACATTCCCTACTTTGTAGTAGGAAGAAAAAAAATGGTATGCTAGTGGTCCATTACAAAAGGAAAAGTTGTAATTGGACACCACCGTTGGTAACTATTTTGGGTATAAAAGAAGGAATGGTCGTGTATTTAAAAGAAGTTGTACCCAAGCTAGGTCCACAGAGCTTGGCCACAAACTTACCATTCTTTGTACCCACTAAGATGCTGGTAGTGATCTCCAGGAGCTAGGAGTTGAGGGAAAGGCTTTCACAGAAAGCAGAAAGCAGAGAAAACAGTATAGTAGATATCATATTATTCATTAGTACTATCCCAAGTAGGAAAGAAAAAGGAGTTTGCTTAAAAAAAAATCTGAAATGAAGTTTCTTGAAGTTCTGAATTGTTAAAACAATGTCTTACATATAAAAGAATCCATTAATTGATGGTCTGACAAGGAAAAATAAATAGCCTCCTGATATTTGGAAAGCTTCCTAAAACATCTCCAACAGCTCCTGGACACTTAATGAAATACTCTGTTTCTCGTTGACTTTGCTCTGCCAGTTGGCCCAGGGGTGACTGACACGCTTTGACTGAGTAGGTATTATGCTATTCTGAGTGCTTAAGATCCAGAATGCTGATGACCTTGTGAAAATGTAATGTTTAATAAGCATCATCAGCGAGTGACCTTGGCCACCCAACTTGGAGCTGCTCTTTTCTTTATGCACAGCATCAGCTAGCATCTCAAGGGGTCCATTTAAAGTTTTGTGAATGTATGTGACCTTGAATTTATGATATAATCCTGGTTCTCCTGTGTAAACACAGTCCCTGATGATCCATGTGGTTGTTCCACATATAGCTGCTCAATGAAGGAAACCATCTCAGCCTGCCCTGGCTCAGACACTGGTACTTTGACCCAGTGCATGTGTAATGAATATAATTTTATTTCCTCAGCCTTCCCTGAATTCAGAGGAGAGACAGTGGGACCTCAGCTGAGCTACTTAAAACAACAACAACAAACTAAAACTGTAATTTTATGTTGAAAACTAAATGTCTCAAATCTGAGATCTAAGGTCATGCTATCTGCAGGAATAGAAAAGCTAGGGGGAAGAAAAAGTCAATGGATTTTGATTGCACATTTAGCTAGCAACTTCGGAAGTCCCTTTCCAAAGAGACACTTCACTAAAAAAATTCCTTGTCTGTGGCCCAGAGACCACATGTGAGGGATTGCAGCATTTTGTTTGTTTGTGGATTTTGGCAATTTCTGTGGTCCTTTTCTCCTTGCAACTGCCTGTTCTTCAGCTGTCAAACAATTTAGCATCCATGTGAAATTAAAGAGACAGGTTTCTACCATTTGAGTGTTACCAAAGGGATGGAATATACATGCATATATATACTGGGAACAAAAACACTTTAAGTCCTAAGTTGCTATTTGCAGCTTAGGTTGTGGTGAGAAAATGTTTCTTATGAGAAGTTTCCTTGTGATTGGGTGGAGAGAGAATATGTCTGAGCAATGGCATCTGCCCTCAAAATAGATCAGAAGGTGTTAGACAACTCTGGGTGAATGTAGCTTTCCTTATCCATTCAACAGTCCAACAACATTGAGGTAGAGCCAGGTCAGGTCTGAATCCCTGTGGCCCTTACTGTCATTCAGTGATTTAGGGTGGAACTTCACTGACAGCTAAAAGGCTGGGACACATCTTTCCCTTGTGGAATAATCCAGCTTAAGAACCCTAAGCTTGTATCTCTCTGAAGCTTTCTGACTACATGCCTCCATCAAGGGGAATACTAAATCGGATTTAGTCCTTGCTCTCTCTGCAAATAAATTCCTTCTTCATAAATAGAGTTGCTAGGTTATAAGCTAATTTGCAAGTCAAGCAACTGGTACCTCTTCCTGTGTGGAGCTCTAGGTATCCCTCCTGCTATGGAATGAATGTGTCCCCCAAAAGTCCTACATTGAAATCATAACCCCCAAGGATGATGGTTTGAGGGGGTGAGGTCTTTGGGAGGTGCTTAAGGCACAAGAACGGAGCCCTTATGCATGGGATTAGTGTCTTACAATAGAGGCTATAGGGAGGTTGGCCCCTTATACCATGAGAGGATGCCTGTGACCAGCAGGAAGGGCCCCTGATCTCATGTGGTCAACCAGAAAAAATGGGAACCAACAGTCTCTACATCCAAAGAGTCTTGTGAGCAGAAACAAACAAAACAGCTTGTAAATCCATAATCTCCCGTCCAGTGGCAAAGGCAGGTCAGTTGCTTCTTCAAAAGGCAATTGCTCCCTCCTCTGTATTTCAAATGTGCACCTAGAAAGACAAAGAATTCTCTCTTCTTCTACTTATCTATTTCCCAATACTTTGAAACTTTTGCTATTAGTGAATAAAGTAAATCATTTCAAATTTTTTTTGCAGACATACGTGATGCTACTCTGTCCCCCTGTCTTGTCTTACAGGTGACTTTCCTGGTTTCTGACAAGTGTTGTGATGAATCATTTGCTTGGGCTAACTTGTATCTCTTCACACTATTGATTTTAGAAAAATTCAAGTGTTCGGAAACCTGCAAAAGCCATTTATTTAATGTCACTTTTCCTTAAAACAACACGTATCCAGGGAAGAAACAATCACCACATTTGCACATTCATTACATTGATGACATGTTTCTACAAATGCAACGAATGTGGATAAGCCATCTTCTTTAACACAGAGGAAAAACAATCCTAAACTTTCTACATTACTTGTTTTTTGACAAACTGCTGGGCCTGCTTTTTTCTTAAACAAAGTTAGTGATTATTTATTGACTGCTATTCTCACAATTGTTCATTTTTAAACCAATTTTACTGCATCAGTAATACCTATTTTGATAAACCAACACTGTTGTACAAAATGTTTCTTAGCCCTAGGGGTTTGTTTCTAAAGTAATAACCTTCAACAATCAAATAGTGCACTCAGTCCCGGGGTGACAGATCCATCCTTGGTGATCTGTATGTAAAGTCCTGACAACAGTCATCTTTTTTTAGAGTTTATTTTGGTAATACCTGCCATTTTCTCTTCTGGCACATGCACAGTTACCTCTTAAAAGAATGTTCCCATCCATTTCTGTCATGGACCAAGCATTGAATGGATAATTTAGCTTTGGAAAGTTTTGTTCTCTTTATAAGTCACAAGTTCTTTGTAAGAACTTAATGACCTCTAAGCTGTTTTGCCATCTCTAAACTCTCTCCATATAATAAAATCCACACATCCCCAAACCCCATGGAAGCTATAGCACTTGAGATTTATTATTTATAATAATAAAAGTATTAGAGTTTATTCCATAAAGTAGGCAAAAGTCAGTTTTATTTCTCTGGGTAAGAGACTAAAAAGGTTTGAGTAATGAAATGAACTGGACATTAAAATGATATCAGTTCTAGCTAGACTTTTCTTTGGTCCTTGCAAAGCCCTCCAGGCTGCTGGAAGGCTGCTGGTTACTAGGAGTATTGTCCTAATTGGTAGAGATACCTTGTTAGACGAGGCTCCCCTCAACTCCATTTTGGTTTTAATTCTCCCAATAAATTCCAATATCAGCCCATTTACTTGTTTTTTCTTTCCATTTCATCAAGTACAAACAGAAAGAATAAGCACTGATATTCAAATATTATGATTGTCAGAATTTCAGATTAAGACATCTTTATTTTGTGGGTTCTACACACGAGTGGTCAGTGAATAGGTGGTGATACTGTATTCAGAAAATAGCAATATTTTTTCTGGTATAAAGGCAAGAGATGAGTGGAAGTAGTGACTGTGGTTCTAAGTGTGCTAAATTGGGAATAAAGGAAACGATACTTAGTTGGTGGCCAAAGACATTGCTTTATCCTGACCGCTGAGGGCATTTGGGTTCTTTGTAATGATATGATGCCACTGTCAATTTCACTTGCCAAAAAACATTGCCCAATATTTAATTTTTTGAGAGACTCTTATTCCACTTCTTCTGCCCTCAGCAGCAGTGACCATTGAGATTACTTTGTTAGTTCCACTTCTTCTGCCCTCAGCAGCAGTGACCATTGAGATTACTTTGTTAGTTCCTTACCTTGAAGAAGGTCATGGTTGATCCATCTCTGACTGCCCCGTATTCTATCTTGGTTTGTTTTGCCAGATCATCTGCCGAATCTATGGGGGACTCCATTCGCTCTACCGTCAGGAAGGCAGCCAGGTTGGCAGTGTAGGATGAAATGATGATTAGGGTGAAAAACCACCATATCCCTCCAACTATTCTGGTTGATAGCGCTTTTGGCATCAGCTCTGATCCTATGATGTTATCATCAAAGTAAGAGTGTTAAGCAGAGTTAGGAGAAAAGACAAGACTTATGATTTGACACTAATCTGAGAAGATAAATGCATAATATTGTGACATAAAAAATTGTAAATCCATCAAGGATTTACTCTCTGGAGTGTAGGTGAAATAGATGCATTTTCTAGGAAATGTAACCAATCTAAATGATCTTTTAATAAACTCTACTGTGGCTGAAAATGTAATTTATGAACATTTGATAGTATTAAATAATTTTTAACCCTGAGGTGGTCTGTGCCTCAAATTTATAGGGTTCATTAGCTCTGATTAGAATTTGTTTGTTTTACTTGAAAAGTTACTGTCTAATATGCATCTATTGTGTGAAGAAATGTTGTATGAAACAAAGCTATGACAAAGCTTTGAAATGCTAATTATTTTTACTTTATATTAAAGAATGTGATAATCTTTCAAAAGATTAACATGTCATGCCATTTATCACATGTATTTTAATAAAACATTGGGAATTTATAAATCAAATGACTATGACCCAGTCATACTTGACAATAAATGGAACATTTTATATTACTTTTTTTTTATAGAGGCATGTTTTATTTATTTATTTATTTGTTTTGTTTGTTTGTTTTTGTTTATACATGCACTGGGTACAGTCAGAAGCGCAGGAGGGTGAGAGAATTCACCAGAGCCAGAGCGGGAGCAGAGCAGGCAGAAGGACCGAAGTACACTGCTGAGGGGAGCAGCGGGTGGCAGGAGAGGTCTGCGCGCCATGTGGGACCCTCCTCCGGTGGCCGGGGAGCAGCCGGGGATCGAACTGGCGCCGCAGAGGCTGTGGGCAGCCTTGCAACCCAGCGCTCAACTGCTGCGCCACCGGGGAGGCCCCCATTTTATATTACTTTTGAAGTATTTTTTTTTCTAAAGTAGATTCTTACTTGCCTAAAAGGAAAATGGTCATTAAAATAATTTTGTTGTTTAAAAAGGTGTTATCTTTTAATTATACTTCAAGGACTGCCTGTTTCTTAGGTGAAAAGGGGGCATTCCTGGTAAAAACATAAGTGTTAGATGTCAATAGGTGATTCATAGTTATTTGTAAAAGAGAACATACAGGCACTTAATATGTTTACCGGGAAATCTTTCTTCTCTAAAAGAAAGAGACTAGCTAAGAACATTTACACCATGGACAGACATATCTAAAAATTGTCTGGCTCAAAACTTTTGGTCAAATTGAACTGTAGAATCTTGTAATCCAGCAGTATAACTTAAAAATTATTGCAGAAGAAATAAATAAAATATGAAAGGGGTCAGGAGGTTTTATGCAGAGTTTATTCCAGTTGTACTGATTCATGGATGGATTGGCTAATCTGCTTGCCTGAAATTCACCATTGCTTATATACTTAGCATTTCCTCTTTGAATTTAGCATCAGAGGCATGACAGACTTTATGTAACTAGTTAAAAAGTAGATGAAAACACCCCACAGTTAAAAATTCAAAGGGTGAAATACAACAGTGAAATATCTGGTTTCAGGGATATTTTTACAATTCTGATTGGGTGTTTTGAAGTTTGGTGGTTAATGACTTAAGATTGAAAGGGAAATTGGAGTTTACCAATCTACAAATAAATGAGCTTAGGCTCCAGTTTAATCTATTAACAGACACACGTATTGCTCTTGAAATCAAAGCCTTCTTGTGGCTCATGATAAGCAGCTCAAGGTTGGCAGAGTTTCTGAGCTTTGAATTAACAGATACATTCTCCTAATGCTGTTAGGTATGTCTGTGCTTTATTCACTTTTAATGAGATAAATGATTTCAATAAGGTTTTTATTTCCTTCTTTTGTTTGTTTGAATTTGGATATGTAATATTAGACAGACTTATAATAGTTTCCATTAAATTGCCTCCAAGGATTTAGTGGAATAGCTTATTGCTGTTGTTTTAATCTTAAAGTCTAATGGGGTTTATATGCCTGTGGATGTGTGTATATGTGTCTAATGTCCATGGCTATTTCATATCTTTACACTTAATTGATCTAGCAGCCTTGTGGCAATATGATATTATTTTAGATCTTTAGCTGGTTGCTATTAAAATACCATTTATTTCATAAAATAGTCATGGGAAGTAAATACTAGAGTGAATAGGTATATTTTCTTTGCTTACAGGTATAGTATCCATTTTCTATTGTAATTTATCCTTGCATATTTGGCTGTAGTTATAAAAAGATAAGGTTTTAATTTATTTGCATATCATATAATTATATATGATATGACAGTAAAATGGGACACACAGATAACCAACTGTTGATAGTAACATGAAGTAATATAAAAATCACACTTCATATATATATATTTATACTTTTGGATAATGTTATCTTGGAAATTAAAAAAATAATAGAAACCTATTGGGATTATATTTTAAATTGTTGGTAGATGATAACGATTAGATTTCTCAAAATATCATCATGTTGTTTTCACAAAATGTAATGGATTTAATGACCCTCAATGTTAACGGATATACTTAGAAAAGTTTTCCCTAAACTATAGATGAGTTGTCTAGATTTAGAACTCTAGAAGATGAAGTTATGAGAACGGTCAATGTAGAGTAAAACATCACTAGAAAATACTGGTGATGAGAGACAATACTTGCTGAAGCCTCTTTTGTGCCTTTTACGGCAGACATGACAGCCAATCCTGATCCAGACTTTGCTCACGCTCTGTAGAAAAGAGAAAGTCTGATCATCACATTAAAAAAGAAATTAGATTCTGCGGTTTCCAATTGAGAAGAGTGACAAGCTTCTGCTATAGGAGAGAGAGCAACAGCTAATCCAGAAGTCAGCGACTCGGTCCAGTGTCACATGCTAGGGACAGATGCATTACAGTCACCAGGATCCCATTTTGTACATGCAGATATTTGTTTACCTGACAAACGTCTTTAAATTCTTGGGAAAAAATAAGCAGAGCCTGGTTGGGGCTGACTGTCATGTACCCAAGGTAGTGGTAACGAGCAGACACTGCATCCCACGGTTTGCTGTGCATGATGGTAAACTCCAAAGAGGGAGAATATGAAAGATAAGTTATGGGGTGGGCACACTCATATGATGGGAGGCAATTATGGTTATATACACCTGCACTTTGGCTGCCTGTTCTGTGAAACCCAGTCCTTTCTTTTCTTTTCTTTTTTTAAAGATTTATTTATTTATGCTTACAAGAGCTGGGGTACAGGCCAGAGATGCGGGGGTGAGAGTATCCACCAGAGACAGAGTGGGGAACAGAACAGGCAGACTGACTGAAATACACTGCTGAGGGGAGCAGTAGGGAGACAGGAGAGGTCTGCCTCACCATGTGGGTAGCTAGCTCCCTGGCTGGCAGGGGATCGAACTTGTACTGCAGAGGCTGCGGATTGCTTCATAGCGTGGTGCTTAACCCTGTGTGCCACCAGCGAGGCCCTAAGTCCATACTTTTCTATTCTAATTGTATGGGATGGTGAGTTACAGAAAAGGAGAGGGATCTCTTTTACTCTTTATAAGCAAATGCTTGTGAGCTCTACAAGTTAAATGCACGGATATAGCCGTATATGCATATATGGCTGCTAATGGGTTGCCCTGCAGAAAATTTGTGGTGCTGTGTTATGCTCTAAACTCATGCAAGTGCTTTGTAGTCAATCAGCTGCTGCTCTGTATCCTTTAGCAGTGCCCATATCAACTGTGCTTAATTGGGATTTGCCCACTTCCCTCAATTACTTGGTATTTCCACACTGGAGACTCTTGCCTTGCCTTTCTCTAATTTGTTGACACAGAATATAAATATTTCAAGTAGTAGAACAACTCCCTTACTAGAAGCCTTGGGTTCAGCCCCGAGTAACAAATGTTTAAAATAGATCCCTGTTGAGTTTCCCTTTGGCAACTTATTTTTCAGCTTATTATCAAAGGAATGGATATTCCAACCACAGCAGTGTCTGTGACTTATGATTTCCTTAAATTAATCCATTTAATCTTGGAAAGTATATTTTAAACCGAATTCCTGGAATTAAGGCTAAGGGAAACCCACACGAGATGTATTTCCTCCAAAGTTTAAAAGAGCTCATTCTTTCCTCTCTCCCCAACAAAAATCCAGTCCCCCAAATCATAGAAAAGTCTAAACTATATTACATTTCTGCCGTTTGAATTTTATTTCTCCAACCCCTATGGTTTACTGTTGCTATGGTTACCAATTGAGGGAGATTGTAAAAAGTTAATGGGAAGCTAAGCTGAATCCCAGTAGGGTTTGTCAGAGTGGTAATTAGATGGCAATTCTAGGTACTGTCAGAGAATGGAAGATTGTAAGTCAACTTAATCTTCAGAGGACTCAATTCCACTGTTTTCAAACCTCTGACTTGTGCAGTTATGGCTGAAAAGGAAAAGAGTGTCAACAACGTGTAAGAACTTTATCCTTTACTTTTCTCTACGAAAATTGTTATTTATGACTTGACAGAAGTCTTATTTTAGATACAGAGCAAAGGAGATCCATTGCCACCGCATTTTTTATCTTTGCTGTTTTTAGACCTGGGGAGATGTCAGGTCCTATTGGTTTCATCCCTGACCTGCGTTGCAGCCTACTCTACTGTTTTACGGTGGAGTTTACCAGCACAGAAGCCTGTCAGCAGGCCGTGGGATGCGTGTGACAATGAAGGGTGACCGGTGTACCTTGCTGCATGAGAGCTCCAACTCCAAACCAGAAACTATTGAGTAAAGTAAAATTGTTTTCCACCACATCTGAGTCGGGGTTGCATGGGTGAGGGTTATACCACTCGTAGGGTGTAAACCTGTGGCAATTAACAGAAACAGTTTGTAAACATTGGATTTACCCCCATGGCATCAATACCCGCTGCTGAACAAGACTGAGAACCCAACCATCCAGGACGAAAGCATCAAACCACAACAGTTTTCAAGGTCACAGTCATACACTTACAGCTTTGGTGGGCCCCGTGCCAGGGAGCCGTGAGACATTATTTTTACCAGACTTCTTATTTCTAGACCAAGCCCACAGGTCAGCTGGAGTTGTACTCCTCGGATTTAGGTCTACTGAATTCTTCTGAGTTTTCATTCATTGCCATTTTACTGAACAACGAGATGGACTGTAAAGAGAGGTTCACTCATCCCGAGGATTTACCCCACCAAGTGGCCACGGCAGCAGCACACACGTGTCACACAGCAACTACAGTGCCAAGATGCTGTGCCACTAGGTGCTGTGAGAGACACAAAGAAAAGGGGTGACTTGTCTTTAGGGGCTGGCGATGGGCAGATCTTAAAAGGACTCTAAGTGGCTTAGTGATCTCATAATGCATCAAAGGAGCTGCGAGGTGGAAAATACTAGCGAATAAAACAGTCAAGATTTGGAGTTGATTAGATACTTTTAGGGTGGATGTGGAAACCAAAATCACAATCCTTAAAGAAAGACACTGAGAAGCATCCTGACCCAGGAAAATGTGTGCTTAGGGTGAACCCCACAGTTTGTTTTCCTGAAGAATGTCAGGATTATAATTCTCACTTAACTTTTTAAAACTTTAATTGTTTTCAGAACTATGGACTGAAATCAATTGATCCCCAACCCCAGTTGTTTAAGATGTGGAATTTGAACAGTTTACTTAATCTCTCTGGCCTCAGGCTCCTCATTTGCAAACAAAAGGGGGCATCCTCCAGACCTCTCTGGGGTATGTCAAAATGGAAATCTGGGAGACCTGGAGAGACTTTGCCTTTTCTCTGTTTCTTTTTACACATCTGCCTGACCTTTCTAATAGCCCAGAAGCAGTCCCTGCCTTGCGGTTACTATTTGGGGGCCCTCTTGTCAAGGGGCACTTATTTTTCCAAAGAGACATTAACAGATGCTGTGCGAAGTCATTTGGAAATGATTGAAAATGCAGACGTTCTTAGCACTGAAAGCTTTGCCATTTGCCACTGAGTCCTTGTGGAGCAACAGGAGTGTTAGAGTAATGTTACAATACCATAAAGCCAGCGAGAGCATATGCAGTGCTCGCTAACCATAAGGTTTCAGCAGTAAACAATAGCAGGTTACTGACATGTTGGGGGAGAACAGGGATTAAGGTGAATGCATTATCTCTAGTGAAAAGCAGGACACACTGTGAATCGTGCAGGAAGAAGTGGGCAGGCAGCGCCTTTTAATGAAAAACTGTTTTCTAAACTCCAGAACACCTTCTGGAAAAGTGTATGGTGTCTCCTCATCAAGCGTTAGGGAGTTGGGGATAACAGCCTCGCAGCTGATCCCACAATAGTGGCTTCCGACTCATTCCTGCACCTTTCTCCATAGATGCAGGGACACAGGGCTGGTTCCTGTGAAGCTTATGAATATAGCTTTAATTGACAATGCTGTGCCAATACATTTTAATTACTGTTTCAACAATATAATTAACTTTTGAATTTATACACTCTTAGAACCCTAGTAGTTTGCTGAGCTGAAGAAATGAATACCAATATTAATAAACCCACTAATTGAAACAGTATGCGGAGTAAAGAGGCCATTACTTAAACAATATCATTGTCACTTGTACATTAATTTAAAAATATTAATTGCAATAAATTAGGAAGCTTATGCCTTCAAAAGAAGGAGTTTTCTAAAGAGACCATAGAAACAGGCAACGAGCAGCCAGCCCCTGCTTTGCTGGCATTTGCCCTCCATATCTAATCCGATCAATGATCTCCTCACTTCTATGCTCTTTGGAATGCTGCTTTTAATTTGGTCTTGTTTCAGTATTTCATACTTTGCATTTTCTAAGGGAGCAATTAATCTCATTGTCTATGCAAAAAAGGAAAACTGTCTAACAGCAATGCAATTCTGCTTGCTCTGCAGAGATGTTAGCTTCCTTCTATCCAGGACTTTGAGTAACTTGAGGAATACACAGGCTGAGGGGTAGCGGATGGTCATTGGGTGCTGTGCTGTAAGATGCTGGCTTTTCACCATGCAGTGGAACTACCTGTAGCCTGGATGTCGAGATTTCTGCTGGAAATCCCTGAAGCCTGCACCACGATGGCCGTGTGACAGGGGTGTTAGAATCAGGAAGTGTGGGGCAAAGGTTCACAAAGGACCTGCACCAATGATATTTTGAAGCTGCGATTCCTAACTGATACTGGTTTCTAGTAAAATGACAGGGAAAGAACACATGTGCTTAGAATCTCTGCCAAAATCTACATATTGAAGTGTTTGTAGCATTGTGTTGCAAGGCATGGGTTCATTTTGGGCTTATGTTTCTATATGGTGGTTCTTATGTGAATGGAAGTTATAAAACACCTATTGATGATCCTTAAGTAAAAGGCTCTTTTCATAACTGAGAATGGGTTTTATGACTGCTGGGTAGAAGAGGAGGTTTGGGAGGAGCAGGAGAAAATCCACTCATCTTTCAAAGGAGAAATTTCTATTTGAATTTGTAATGTAACTGTTGATTTTTCATTATAATCTTAGCATTTCAGGCAAAGATTTCCTTTATTTATTTATTTATTTATTTATTTATTTATTTTTTGCTCAGATACCAACTTAAAAATGTTCATTTTAAAGCAGATGAGTGTAAATATAAAATGTAAGCAGTTATTTTATCAGATTTTTTTGGTCTATTTAGATTGTGTGCTCATGATGGACATGATTCCTTGGGGTTAAATATTTTTTCATAAAAAGCAATTTGAAAAATATGTCAACCACAAAACAAAAGCACTGACATAAACCCTTGTACCTACTTGTAGAGACTGAAATTTTATTTTGACCCATTGATGTCTAACTTTATATTTATTCAGATCAGCGAATGATTTGTAAGCATCTGTCTAGTGAGGGCATTAACCTAAATGCAGTGATGGGCTTTCCTTTTGCCTGAAAAAGAACATAAAAGGATATACTTCAAAACGCAAATTTAAAAGCCTCTCTAGAGCTAAAGATGATTATGAGATTAACTGTTTTTTCACTTCTACTTCACTAACTGTGAATGCAAACCACTGAGATGGTAATGCAAAGCCATTTTCCACCTTAGCTTACTGGTGAGAGGACCCGGCACTTGGGCTCAGACTATGCTGGGGTGAAGTAACAGTGAATGGGCACCTTTATTCAACCAGGAGTTTGTCTTTGGAATCACCTCCAAAATATATTCAGCCGTTTTATGAAGTAGAAGCAGGAATGGATTCAAGGGTGTGGAAAAGATGACATTGTTGAGCGGGTGAGCTTGTGACAGTGCACCTGTGTACCACTACCACAGTGCACCGGTGTACCAGCTACTTTTTATATTTTCTGGGTTTTAACACCAAGCAATTTGCAAGTTTGCATTGCATGCATCCACTTCCCCAGGACACACAGGGAGTGGAAGGCAGTGAGAAAGGGGTGAGAGGAGAAGAAAACCTAAATTACGAAAAAAGATGAACTCTTGAAATTTGTGACCGCATGGACGGAAATGGGGGGGCTGATGCTAAATGAAGTAAGTGAGCAGGATTAGACAGATCTGGGATGGTGTCGCTTACATGTGGAATACAGAGAGACAGCAAAGAGCCAGATACAACCAAATTAGTAACAAACCCTAGAAACTGGACTATAGAATTGAGGTTATCAGAGAGGGAGGGACACAGGGGACAGCAGAGTAGAGAAGGGTCCGATGGTCTAAGGGGGGGGGTCTAAGGTGTGGGGGTGGCAACATGCACTTGAAGGGGGTGATCCTGTACCTCTCAATCATATAGAGTACTATAAACCGATATCTCAATTATAACCAAAAAGATTTGGCTTAGAAATGGTACTATGGATGAATAGGAATGGTAGGAGGATAGATTTGTTTTGGAGGGACAGAGGGGCTGCTTAATAGAAATAGGATGAAGCCAGGGAATGCAAAACTTTGGATCAACAAGAGCTTATAGAGGAACAGGGACACAATCAGAAGAGAACTACTGAATGTTACATTGTTCTGACATGTTCTGATGAGAAAAGCAAGGGGAGTTAAAGGCACAGCTGGTGTCAGGTGTGGAAGGACACTTTCTGTTGTGGGTTCATGAGAACTTCTGGCTGCTGTTGCCATGTTTTATCTCTCATTGGCTTTGGAAAAATCACCAGGATAAACAATGGGCTTGCTCAGCAACCTCCTCTTACCTGCTCTACTCATCAACATCATACTCCTGGTGGAGTAGGGGTCTGGGGAATATGGAAGCTCAGTCCTCTGACCTCGCTTCTGCTTGGGTCTCTCCACTGTCCCTAATGTCACTCTGCAGGGATGAGCTCACAGCAGAGAGGTGGACCCTGTTATGCATTGTTAGGGGGCACGTCACCTCAGTGCAGTCATTGATGAAATGGCTCTTCTAGGGCAATGTTAATTTCACAATTGGAGAAATGCACCTCCAATGGTAAGCACTTTATCTTTTAAAATTTGACCACCAAACCAATATTTTCTTTAAGAAATCAAGATCATGGTTTCTCAGTCTTGGTGCTGTGGACATTTGGGGCTTCTTAGTTGTTGGGGGACTGTCCTTCATACTGCAGGATGTTCTGCTGTCGACCTACTTGATAGCAGTAGCATTCTCCACCCCTGGCTATGATAACCAAAAAAAACCAAAACAACAACAACAACAAAAAAACATTTCCAGGTATTGCCAAATGTTTCCTGGGCAATGAGATCTATTCTAGATGAGAACCACTGATTTCAAGTATTAAAGTACCGAAGGATAAAGTATCCTGTCAATATATTGTTCTCTGAGGTAAGACATAGAAAGAGAGCATTGATCATTATTTTTCAAGAAGTTTAATATGTGGCCGGCTTTTAGATAGTAACCTGGGATTTGGCAATGGTGCACGTTAGCAGGTATAGAGAAATGGAAAACATTCCTTTCTTATTGAATGTCCCGAATTCCTCAGTAAGATCACACATTTGTTTAGTTTGACTATGTCTATCTTGTAGATCTTTAAGAACTTTTCAGCCTGGGTTATTTCCCAAAGCTTTCTTTAAAATTACACCAGGGAAAGAGTTACCTGGCATTAATCAAAACTAGACAGTGGACAATGACAAACAGCTAGCATGAAGACACATTTCTCCTAGAAATTCCTGGAGGGAAAACAAAAATTGATTAGGGAAAAAGTTCACTGAGTTTTGTTCAGAAATGAAAAAGACTGAAAAAGAGTAGGGGACATATGAGAGTAATTAAATTTTTACATGGTTTATCTGGGGGTGTCAACAGAAAGACAAAATAGTTGTGCTTCAAATTCAGCATCAAATGTATATAGAAAATATGATCTGCTTAAAGGTATAAAAATCCTCTCAACAATTGTGCACAGCAGAATGGTTAAATAGGGTGTTTTCTCAGGAAAAATAAAAATCTGAAATGAATCATCAATAATAGCACAAAGATCTCACTTCTACAGTTTCCGTCTGTCATCCTTGCTTTCAGTTATTTATTGAATTCTCTCATTAATTTTTTTTGAATTGATAAAAGTTTTCTAATTCCTGAGGATTTCACAATCTTGTTTTAGTCCAGTGTTTTTTAATTTTCCAGATAATTCCTAGCTAGCACTTTTCTGTCTTGTTGAACTGAATATTTCAATGGTAAAATATTTGGACACTGGTTTACTCTTCTTGTTGAAACATTTTGGATTTATTAGCTGAGCCATTACTTTTATTATAATTCAGAGAAAATGGGTACATCATTGTTTTATGTTGCTGGAAATATTGATACAATGAAATTCATATAAAATTATCTTCTTCCTAGCTCTTAAAAAACCATTATCAATAATTAGAAGAAATTCATTTACAGAATGACTTTCATGTGGGTAAACTCGACAGAATAGAACAATAGGCAGAGTGAAAAGAGCATCTTAAATTCTGAATCTGTGTTTAGCCCTAGAGCACAGAGGGCAATCTGAGACAGACCGCCATCTGCTGTAAGTTGAATAGTTCTCCGACTTACCTTGCAATCACAAAGAGGACGCAACTGACTCCCAAGCAGGCTAACAGCACATACATCCAAATGTCAGGAGACAGAGGGTTGAGGAAGGAGAAGACCCCTGGATTGGTGCCATTAGGTTTCCGGTAGAGGATGCTGATACCCAGTGTCATGAAGGGCTTAGAGAAGTCAATGACTTTCTCCCGCACGTAGGTGATGGTGAGAGGGGCTACTGCCAGGTCAGCCCTCTGCAAAGGCAAGTCCAAAACAGTGACCTTGGTCATCCAGGATGTGTCTGGACTTCTCCTGGGTTCTGCTCAGCCCTATTCTCAACTCCAAATGCTTCTCTTGCAAGAAGGTTCTGTGATGACTAATATAAAAAAGACTGATTCACACAAATTTTGTTTATAAAATATATGTATGAGCAAAGAGAAGCCAGAAGGTATAAAACACGTGCATGAACATATCCTGGCACAAAATGCAAGAAAAAAAGGACATGTAAGAACGTCAAGGAATAAAAAACCTATTTGGAATATCACTTGACAGGATGCGATTTTGTTCAGAGCTGAAAACTTCAGATTTCTTTACCTAATTTAAGAATCATTCACTTTCATTCTTCAGTATATAGGATGAACCCATACAGGTGTATCCTCATATATTTTTCCTTATTTGCAAACTCCATTTCTATATTGTTTTCTCCTACTGTTAAAACCATTTTATGATTCAAAATAACTGAAATCTTTCTTTCTCACTATCATTCAACCATTTCCTCTCTTTTCCTTCACTTCTCATTCTTCATCTGCCTCCCAAACATTGAAGACCCATATGTAAAAGATGCATTTTTGCTTACGTGATCTATAAGTTCTTTGACCATTCCATTCCACTCCCCTTTATCATTCTGTGCTCCATATTTGCCATCAGGGACAAGTTTAACATCATAAATGAAACCCAGGATGCTTGACAATTCCTTCAGCAGATCTAGACAATATCCTTCAAACCTGTCATTTCCATATAGGGGCTTGTCAGATTTCCTATACATCACATAGGGTTCTTCCTACATGAAACAAGGTAAATACGAAAACTGTTACAAGGGAAGAAAGAGTTACTTATACAGGTTCCATTAATAGTCAGGAGATGTGAAATACTTGAAAGTGATTTTCAAGATTTGAGAGCAGGGAAGTCTGTCCCTCACCTTCCTGTTTTGCTGAAATCATCCCCTCATAACTTGTTCAAATACTGAACCCATATTCTGTGAATAAAGGACATTTCTCAATATCTTGCTCATAGAAATTTATGAAATTTAAACAGTTTCTATATTACTGATGTGTCCTTTATGTTTATTCTCAAACAGATAGCAGTAGAAAATCTTATATTTGCATGAGTTAATTTTGGAGAAATTAGTCACCAGAAAAACAAAAGTTTTACTTTTTGTTGTTAATAGTATTAATTTTTATTATGGTGATGTGGGTATACAACACTATATCATTCAGAGTTATAGGGTCACACCCCTTCAGATGTATGTTCTCACACAACACCCATCACTAAGGCACCCACAGTCCTCCACAGCCCACTGAGCCCCTACCCCTCTTCGCTCCACCCCTCTCCTTCCCTTTCTAATAACCTCAGTTCTGCAGACACACTTCTGGGGTTTGTTTTGATTTGGATTGTCTGTTCCTTTGTTTTGTTTCTCCATATTACTTTGAAGGAACATTTCTCAGAAGTTAACTTTCAGAAATGAACTGGATTGACATAGACTGAATCAAGTAAAGCAAAAATGTCTGAATGTGAAGATTTTAGAGGAGGCCCTTTGCTCCTTGGGTCAGGGTGGGAAAAGAGAGAATGAACAAGCTGTGGATGTTCAGTGGCTGGATAGGGGTGTAATCAGGGTTCCAACAGGAATATACCCTAATCTGGGATTCTGCTCTGAAGAGCAGTTAATAAAGGGACTATTTTCAGAGAACTTAGCAGGGCAAAGGAAGTCAACAGGGAAGGGATGAGAACAAATGTTGGGGTGTTGACACCCAGGCACCGACATCGGGAAGCTGGTACCACCTAGGGCTGCTGCAGCAAAGAAGGAGGGTGGTCCTGACTCCCCACAGAGGATCATGGACAGGCTAGGTGCCGTGGTTGTGAAGGACAGAGTCTCTGACGTAGGCTTTGAGAGGAAGGGGAAGACATTCCCTTCTCTACTTTCACTTCCCTGGTCTTTTGCCAGAATCTTCCCTTGGTTGAAACCAACCAGCAGCCAGAGAGAAAGGAGACTAGCTGGGTGGAGACAGAGAGTAGAATAAAGCAAATCTGAGAATGGATTGCAGGTGGGAGATCTTCAGAACAATGTTGGAAGCTTATAATTGAAGCCGATTATAGGTCTACACAAACATGCTTTAGAGTCCCAATGAAAGAGATTTGCTTGCAGAGTTATTGACATGAAAATCATAGTTGAGAAATACTTTAAGGTCTTGGTGTTGGGTAAGGTGTGGTAATGACACTTGAGGTAGGAGATCCTATACTTCCAATAAACAAATGGTGGTGTAAACCAATGTTGCCGCAATAAAACAAAATGAATCTCACCCTGTCGACTTACCAGAATAGTGGTGACAATGAGCGTTCGGTTGGCCAGTGAATCAGTGATATTGCTGGACCGGTCTTTGTTGCCATCTGTCATGTTGAGCCCACTGTTGGAGTTCCAAATCCCAATCTACACAGAACACAACACATCAGAGTCTGCTGGCTGCCATCGACGACATTCACACTACAGGGAGGCCCCTTTGACACCAGGGATGGACACGAAAGCTCAGAGTCTGGGAAGAGGACACCAGGGCATCACAGGGGGTGCTACTAAATATGGACAGATGAAATAATGCAGGGATGAGGGTGTAGATGAACTAGGGAAGGTGTGCTTTGGGATGGAGAAGGGTCAGCCTTTTTGACTTTATTAAGCTTACTTATTCTTTTTGTTAAACTAAGAATTCTTGAACAAGCACCACATTTTTCTTTTAATGTGTGTTTGATAAGCAACTACTTGTATGTCAGTCACTGTCCCAGGAAGTGGAGGACACAGCAATGAACACAATAGACACTATTTTCTGCCCTTGTGGAGCTTACATTCTATTGACGCAAACCCTTTGTACCAAGGTGGTACCAACAGTGCCTTTAAAATTTATAGGAATAGCATGGAGGGAGCAGTGGAGAGGGTGGACAGACTAGGCTTCTAAAAGGGAAAGATGATGGAAGAAAAGTGTGGACAGGAACAGAAACATTCTGGGCTTATCTTCTGAGGAGCCAGTGATGGTGAGCTTGGCTCCCTGCACTGTATGGGGGTCTCTGTGGGCTCTAGAAGGGCTTGTTCTACTTTGCTTTGGGCCTACCTTCTGATATTCACCTGTTTACCTGTCTCATCTCTCCATTCAGCCAAGAGCTCCTTCAGGGATGGTGTTCACTTTTATTGTTCATTGACCTTATCATAGATTCAACTAAGGCAATCAGGGGAACCCACTGTGCTTTTAAAAAATAATGACCACAATTTTCTCCAGTGGTCAAGTCACTTCTAGGTTATTAGGTCCTGTTGAAGTGTATTGATTTGTTTAGCCTCTGGAGGAATCTTAGACAAGAGATTTAGGGAATTGAGCTATTTTTCTGGAGTCCTCTGTCAGCAGTCATTGCCAGACTGGTGAGAGGGAGTGAGGATCTCCCTTCCAGCCAGGCCAACCCGGTGCTGTGTGACCTTGGCTAAGATGTTAACCTTTCTGAGCTTTGGTTCTCTAACTGTAGAGTACTTTATAGGGAGCTTGGGAAGATCTAATGAGAAAACTGGAATATGTTAGGAGCTACACAAATGTTTACCATTGATGACATCCAAATGCCTGCCCAGTACTTTCTTCAGACTTGCTCAATTGTGCAAGAAATTGAAATCATAAGTGAAATTCTTTTTCTTCTTAAATTTAGAAGCTGATTAAGTAAATGATATTGGAAAAGCAGGGGCGACTTTATGACCACTAACACATGGATGTACTCTGGGATGGATGGGGCAGAGCAGTGTCTGATCCCCCTCCCTACAATGAGAGGGCATTGGCTAACTGGATGGAGTGAGATCGTTATAGACAGACCTTTGTCAGACCCTAGCTTTACAATTTCCCAGCCATGTGACCTTGGGCATGTTAATTAACCCCACTGTGCCTCCATTTCCTCACCAGCAAAATGGAAGTAATAAGACTTTTCTGATGATCAAATAACATCTCACCTGTGTGAATGTTAGGCCTCATCTTTCCTTTTCTATTTCTTTACTTTGATTTCCTGCATAAATACAGCAGCTGGAGATTCATTTAGCTTGACAAATACCCTTTTTAGAAACGATACATTCTTTGAGGAAGTTTCAAGGACAATCACACGTTCACACATCAGTGTGAAGAATGTCAAATTCACTGTTTCCTTTCTAAATTAGAGTTAGTGGGTTGGTGAAGTAAGGAGACAGGTCTAGGTTGTGGGGGCTGTGGATCTTTTTTGCATGTGACAGTATTTTGTCCTGTCTGTATAGAGAGGGTATCAGAGGCAAGACTGGGAGGTATGACATCACTTTTCATAACCATTGGCCTTTGCTGAACCAGCAAGGGGCTGTCACTTAGATGCACATAATACAAATCTGACAGTAGAAGAATCTTTTCTCTTTGGTTGTTTGTGAATTCAGAAAAGAGGGGCAATTTTTTTTCTTTCTCTTCTTACTCTTCACCCCCTCCCCATATTTCTTTTTAAGATTATTTATGCATATAAGAGCTGGGGTACAGGTCAGAAATGTGGGGTGTGAAAGGATTCACCAGAGACAGAGTGGGGAGCAGAACAGGCAAATTAACTGAAATACACCACTGAGGGGAGCAGCGGGAGAAACAGGAGAGGTCTGCTGTGCCCTATGGGTCATCTCCCCGGCTGGTATCGAACTTGTGCTGCAATGGTTGCGTATAGCTTCATAGTGCTGAAGCTTAACCCCTCACACCACCAGAGAGCCTCCACCCCCATATTTCTAAGTCAAGGATAGTTGCTACTACACACACACCTACACACCCCTGGGTGTCTACAGCACACCAAGACCACACTCCAGGTTGTGGCAGCTCGCTTCTAACTCTATGAAATTGTAGAGACTTGTATTAACTGGACCATGGCCACACTTCCAATTAAACTTTGTCTCAGGCCCTGGGGAGGATAGACCTAATTTATTTATTTACTTATTTTTTAATCTTTTAGAACCCAATTTTCAATTAAGTCTTGAAAGGTGGAGAAAATAACTCTGGTTGTACTCAATGTTTTAAGTCATGGAACAGGCTGTTTTTAACTCTTATTTCTATTCATGTTAAATGTGTTTAAGGGAATGACACTAATATTTGAAAATGACAGTGTTTAAAGGCCTCGTGATACTTCTCTTTTAAAATACAAGTTTGAAATTGTAGATGCAACCCAGCTTCCCTGCTCACTTTTATCTCTTTTACCAAACTCCTAAAGCTGTGGAAGCTTGGGGGTTACTATGGTTACATTTTCAATTGACTAAATTCAAATTGTCCTTCAGCACCAACTTCCCTCCATAAAATGAGAAAAGGGAGAATAATTTTTCCACAAACTGTAAACAGAAGTTTCTTCCTTCAAGTCTAGACAAAAAGAGAGTCAAGCTATAGTAAGTGTCAAAGGGTCAGGGTCTTCCTGGAAGGGGGCAGTATAAATATACAATTTTAATTATCTCAGGTTTTTTGTTTTTAAACCTTTAAATCAGCAAAAAAGGAGAGAGAGAGAGAGAGAGAGAGAGAGAGAGTGTTAATCCTAAGTGGTCCACTGGCTTCACCTGTTAATTGCAGTAAATGAACACATCAGCTAATGAATGTCACTTTCTGAAGAAGCAAAATCTTAATGATTCATCCCTGTTGGGAAGAGGGATCCAGCCAAACCAGATGCCCAAAAACTTAACATGTCAGTCCTGTTCTCTGACCTTGGAGGAGGCCCTCCAGGAAATAGAACCTCAATTTTCAAACTAGCAAAAGCAGACAGCAGTAATTTACCAGTGAGAGTGGAGGGGGGATCAATTACTTGTGGGCAGGAATACACAACAGCTCAGTGGCCTGGTCCTGCTTCTTTCATTTTAACTGACAAGAAAGAGCAGCCACATGGTCTAGGACAATGGTGGGGGGTGGGGTGGGGGGAGGGTTTTTGAAAATGAGTTTTCAAATTTGACAATGCCAACTTTTTAAAATAAATGACATGCAACAAAAGGGTGTATGAGAGGGACAGCTCTTTATCTTCTGGACCTAGAGAGGGATTCACATAAACCCCAAATTCCAAAACTGCTGTATGAAATCTCAGCAGCCAGGAAGAGATCAAGTGTATCTGTTTCTTGTATCATGAGCCTTAGGGACACACATTTGAGTGAGGGGTTTTGGAAACAGTGTTATAGTCCTCTTTTTTTTTTTTTAAGGTTTATTTATTTATGCATACAAGAGCTGGGGTACAGGCCAGAGATGTGGGGAGGGGGGTGAGAGGAATCACTAGAGACAGAGTGGGGAACAGAACAGGCAGACTGACTGAAATACACTGCTGAGGGGAGCAGCGGGCGAGACTGGAGAGGTCAGCTTCTCCATATGGGTTGCTCCCTGGCCAGCCGGGGATCGAACTCATGCTGCAGAGGCTGTGAAATGCTTCATAGTGTGGTGCTTAGCCCCTTGCGCCACCAGGGAGCTATAGTCCTCCTTTGGAACAAATTTCAGGTGGACTCTTTTAATAAACAATGGTCAGAATGCAGAGGAGAGCTTTTGGAATTTGTATGCAAGGAAATGAATCCTTCTCTTTTAAGATGGAGTCTTGCTGAGAGAAGACAATGCATTTACTGGGTCTGGCTAGATCTCCTGTGCTAGCACACAGGTTGCTCTGAGCTGTGGATGAGCAGTCATAACACGAAACAGCACACCACAGTATGTGCAACTTATGATGGGGCAATGATGGGCCAGCAGCAAGGAAGAGGTACAAAGGCATCGAGGAATATCAAAGCCAAATTTGCATCCCTGGGAAGTGGGGGGGGGGAGGGGCAGGGCAATTATGGCAGTTCAGTGACAAATTAAAGACCTTTGCCTTTCCTATGTGTAATTTCACAGCGTCATTCCATCCTCTGGGATATTTGGTTTGAATTAATTCAACATTGCATAAAGCACCTGGAGTCTCCAACTGGATTAGTGCCATAAATTACTTTTTAGGTGCCAGTTAGGTTCATCTATTGACTGATAATGAGGAGAGGGGATTACTTTCTCTATGCCTTTAGTAGCCCAATTCATTGACTATTAAAGCCTTTTAAACCTGTGTTTTAGTTTTGAGCTCCACTACTGGGTACTACCAAGAGGGAAACCAACATTATGGCCTCTGGGAGGAACTGTTTACACTTTCTGTGACTTCACTGATCACTCAAAGGATGAAAGTGAATCTAGCAAAACTATTCAAGTTGAACAACTTGAAGTAATGTAACCTCCATCCGTCTATCAATAGATATTTTAGCAAGTAGCTCTAGAGAAGAGGAGAGAATGAAAGACCTTGTTTGTATAATCCTGGGACATTCTCCTGATCCAAATGTTTTTTAATGTCTAACGTTTGCTTTCATAATAAGTCTGCACATTTTTTGACACATAATACTGTACAATAAACTGAAATAGTGGGTGTTATAATTTACAAGATAATTTCTTGTCCTCTGGAGGCTGTGGTTCTAAAACAAATTATGAGACACTAGGCACTGAGAAAGATGCCACATAAAACAAAGATAGCTCCTAAGAAAAGGAAATTTCTGAAAAAGACTCCTATTTTGTGGTGGTGACATTGAAGGAGATGTTCTAGTGTTTTGAGCCATAGCCTGTCTGACTTGTCTGATGGATCAAATCTAGTGTTTACCTGTCCCTTGGAGAAAATATTTAGTGATTTGAGCAGGACTATAAATGGACCAAGGTCTGCTTCTGTTGCAATTACCTGCTTTCATTCCTAATAGGGACTGATCCTGCCCAGGGGAAATACTTCATCCATCTTTGTTTGATCTTTTTCAAACCTGTTTTCAATGCAAAGGTCATGTGGTGGAGAGACAACCTGTTCTGTCTCTCCCATCTTCCTGTAGCTTCTCTAAGCTGCAATTGACTACTAACTGGTTTGGCCAAGCTGGAAGGATGCAGGCTTTTTCTTTGACATTCCCCACCCCACCCCCACATTTCCTACGGTTTTGGTCAGAGTACAAACCTTCTTCCACACTTTATATAAGTGTTTAGACACTTCGCCAGCAGCCTTGGTTTTCAGAGGGAAAAATAAAAATAGCACTTAATTAAAATGGAGCATGGAACCGGCAAGGTATCATGGTGGTGTGTGCTCAGAGTTTTGCATTCCCCTCCCATTGTTTGGAATCTTACATGTCAATTCATTCTAAACCTGAGAACAGACACATTGAAGAGAAGCCAAGTATTTCAGTCTCACAGAAGCTACTTGGTGGTACGACACTTTTCATGCACCAAAAACATCACTTACAAGTTTTTTTGTAAATGCATAGTTATGCTGCAGAGTTACAGCCCTTTAGAAGGGTTCATCAACCCTTTAGAAGACTTGTTCAGGGCATTCACAACCAAAATCAATCAATCAATCAATCAATCAATCAATCAATTCACACACGCACACACATGCACACCTCATTCTTAAGCAAGGAAAAGAAAACTTGGCTGGTGACTTCAAACTTATTCTTTATGACTTCAAGGCAGTAGAAACTTGAGTGAAAGTGAGAAAATGGACTTTTTTTCCCTAATAATTTTCCCTTTGGTCCCTTTGAGAGACTGACACGTAAAGATTGCGAACCTCCCTTGGCTCCTGAGAGATGGGTTTGGCTTCCCCCACTGCCTTAAGGCTCAATCAGCCTTCTCAGGAATTAAACCCAAGTCACCTGAAGAAAGAAAAGTTATTGCAAACAATGAAGAGGTAAGAAACAAATTGAGAAAACACTTTCATCTAATTTGATTTTGCTGTTGATGGAAAAACACCCATAGAGTGTATCGATAGCTGTGAAAGTATAACAATAGCTCATCTACTTTGTCATCCATTTGAGCCAAAAAGATGTTTCTTAACAGCTTTTTTTCTCCTTCAGTTCTGTACATTAAGAGAATGTGGAGAGAAGAGAAAGGAGGCATATAGCAGCAGAGATTTCCTTAAAAAAAATTAAACCACATTATAGGCTTTTAGTCCATAACAAATATTCTTTTTTTTTCCCCTTTTGTTCCCTCTAGGCTGATGCCACACCACATGTTGAGACTAGGTGGATGCCGTGTATCTGTCAGAGCACATTTAACTAACAGACAAGCAAATCAGAGTGAAGAAGAGAGAAAAGGAGAGACAGAGGCATTTTGAAAATGAGAACACTGCAAGTATAATGTATCCTTTGAAACCTGCATGCTAATTATTTTGCTCAAACATTTCAACACCAGTGATCACTTCCTATTATAGTCAGCTTAATTAATCTTTCTTTGGGGTGGGAGAGGCATAGTTAAGACCTAGAAAAAAATGTGCCTCCGTTAACAAAAGCAACAAAACAAATAAAAAGCTTATCTCATTTTAAAAATCAGCCCAACTATTTCAATTAAGTAATTGATTGTTCCAGGAGCAGCTCTTTTACATTAAGTGTACCTTCTTGTCCACTAGAGTGAAAAAAATTCGATTATAGAGTTTTGGTGTTTGGACAATTGTTGGGAGAATTCAAAATCTTTTTAAGGTTCTTAAGGGCAAAAACTATGATGAGTGTAAATTAATTTCGACTTATACTTTCGATGTATACATTATAAAATTGGTATAATGAAATATATTGAGGAGTCAAGTTTTTTTACTATTAATATTTAAATAGTAACTATATTTGTACTGCTTTTAATAGTGACTAAAATAGAACTTTAAACTGTGAGAGACTGAAAATCCTAACATTAAATACATGTTGGGGACAACATTGGATTTTCTCCTAAAATCAGGTGGCAGAGTTGTTTTGTTACAGTAAAGCATTTATATCCCACTTGATTTATCCCTCTGCTATCAATCTCAAAAGGGAGCACAATTAGAATTAATTTCTGCGTAAGGCTTGGATGCCACTCCAAAGATAAATCAGTGCATCTTCCGAGTTTTCAGGTCTAAATTCAATTTCTAAAACGCTTTGTGAATGGCACTAATGATGCAGACCTAGAGGTTACATATCTGTGATAATAAAATCATGTTTGCTCTATAAACCCAGCACTACATAAACATTCATCATCATTGCCAGTAACACATGCAATTTAAGAATCTAGAATGTTAACCTTTATCTGCAGACCTGGAAGAGAGATCCAGAAAACTGGAACTGAACAAGCCTGATGGTATCATTTTATTATCATCCCCTTATTTGGAGGTGCAATGAAAATGCTTAGTCAGCACTTTTCCTTTCAAATTTATTACCGAGGACATTACCTTTTCAGTTCCTTCCTCTTTAAGACTAATAATGTCCAGATCAAAATCCCTCCTCAAGCCGTCGGTTTTATTGAAGGCGATACGCCCAGTCAAGCCATCCCACCGAGCCTGTGGACAACAGGAATGTGGCATTACTGCTCAACATTTATCATAATCCTAATACCATCAAATTGTAATACTGCAAATTCATCACAGTATCCAATTATTTGCTTCCACAGTGGACGTATTGGTTCAGTAACCGATAGCAGAATACCTCACGGTTTTATGAGCACTCATTTATTTTTGTCAGTTCTGACATCATAACATCAGTCAAATCTGTAATTGTGGCAGTCTAAATGGGTAGTATGGAAAGGATAACTGTAAAATAGTCTGCATGTGGAGTAAACAAAGTCATGGAATCATCATCTATTTTTCAATGTCAATCCAAATTCCTTTCCAGAAAGTTCCCCACTGCTTTCCCCACTGTGAACGATACAATCCAATAACATACTATTGAATTGTTCAGGTGTTCGTGATTTAGACTTTCCGATTTCATGTGATCATTACATTAGCTTCCCCCTGACTGCTATAGCAAATGATCATAAACAACTAAATTGATGCTCTCGTAGTTCTGGAGACTAGAAGCAGAAGTCCAAATCATTACCACTGGGCAAAGCCAAAGTGTGAGCAGGTTCCTACTGTGCAGGCTCAGAGAGACCCGTTCGGTAGTTCCCTGCCTCTTCCTGCCTCCATCCTTCACTCAGCCTGCTGAACTCCTAGCCATTATTCAAGGTTGCATAAAGTGCTGAATTTTGTTCCAGGCATGATTCTCTCCTCTGAAGCGCAGAACTCTCTGCCGACACCCTTCTGACCAATATTGCTCTGTCATTTCACTCATATATTTTTTTAAATATTTATTTATTTATGCATACAAGAGCTGGGGTACAAGCCAGAGGTGTGAGAGGTGAGAGGATCCACCAGAGAAAGAGTGGGGAACAGAACAGGCAGACTGACTGAAATACATCACTGAGGGGAGCAGCGGGCGAGACAGGAGAGGTCTGCTGCGCCATATGGGTTGCTCCATGGCCAGTGGGGATCAAACCAGCACTGCAGAGGCCGTGGACAGCATCACAGCACTGCACTCAAGCAACTGTGCCATCAGGGGGGGACCAATTTCACTCATATATTACATGAGCCTTATACTGTTATATAACTTTTCAGCTTGGAATGCCTTGTATCCTCAAATGGATCAAGAAGCAAAATGCAGTTCTCTTACTAAATTGAATTCCTTGTAGTATCTAATAAAATAACCTAGCCATTAGAATTTTTTTTGCTCTAATTTGTTAAAAATAAAATGTTAATAATTTGTATGTCTCGCTTTTCTGTCTTCAGTAAATTCTCCCTCTTTATTGATTTCGACCTATAATTCCTCAATCCATAATCCTGCCTAAAAGTGGGGCTAACACCATTGATGAGGAGTCAAGAATCATGTTTATTTCTGAAGCCACTATCTACCTATGTGACCTTGGTTGAGTTATTTTGTTCTCCTTTAGAGCACAGAAAAGTGCTGTGAGAGAACTTTGAATAAAATGAATTTTAGCCCTGGAGTTCTATCACTACAGGGAAGATGGTGTGGTCACTGAATAAGTGTGTGGCATCTGTAAGCTGGGCTGTATAAATCAGAAGATCCCATTGTCATCCTCAAGTTTTAACATGAAGAACCCTGCTTTCTCACTGGGGAGAAAAGATTTCAGCCAAGTTTGATTTCAGTTATTTCTTTCATTATTAGTTCTTTTGGAAAACATTCATTTATTGAGCTTTTTTTTAAGATTTTATTTATTATTTATGTATAGAAGAACTGTGTATAGGCCAGAGAGATGTGTGTGTGTGGTAGGGGAGTGAGTGTGTGGTAGTGGTGCTCAGAGACAGAGCAGGGAGCATAACAGGTGGATTTACTGAAACACACTGCTAAGGAGAGACAGGAGAGATTTGCTGTGCCATGTGGGTCAGCTCCCTGGTTGGGGATCAAACTCATGCCATAGTGGTGATACCCTGAGACTGAACTCCTAGTGGCCACCTGGGAGGTCCCTATATTTTTTTTTAAGATTTATTTATTTATGCAAGAATCGGGGTACAGACCAGATGTGCAGGAGGGTAAGAGAATTCACCAGAGACAGAATGGGGAACAGAACAGGGAAACTGAGTGAAATACACTGCTGAGGGGAGCAGCAGGTGAGACAGGAGAGGTCTGCCACACCATGTGGGACCCTCACCAGCTGGCCGGGATCGAACTGGCGCTGCAGAGGCTGCGGACAGTTTCACAGCGCTGTGCTTAATTGGCTGTGCCACCAGGGGAGACCCCCTATTTTTTTTAAGATTTATTTATACAAGAACCAGGGTACACCAGATGCACGGGAGGGTGAGAGGATTCACCAGAGACAGAGCTGGGAACAGAACAGGCAGACTGATGAAATACATTGCTGAGGGGAGCAGCGGGTGAGACAGGAGAGTCTGCTGAGCCATGTGGGATTCTTGCCGGCCGGCCGGGATCGAACCAGTGATGCAGAGGCTGCGGACAGCCTCACAGTGAGGCGCTCAACTGCGTGTGCTACCAGGGAGGCTCAGGGAGGTCCCTATGAGCATCTTTACTGTGCCAAAAAATACCTGGGAATATAGCACCTAACAGATGCAGTTTAGTAGGGAAAAGTCCATTCATGTATTTCAAAGAAGCACTATAAGTATGAGGATAATATTTGCACACAGTAATTAAAGAAGTATGGGGAAGGACTTATCTCAACTTAAGGGAAAGTGAGTTGCAAAAGATTCCTGGAGGAAAGAATGCCTGTGCTCTCTAAGGATAAGAAGTTGCCTTCACATAGATTCGCAGGCAGAGGAAGAAAACAAGGCAGTGTAGAATAAATTAAATCATGGGTGCTTAATGCAAGATAAGGAATAGTGAGAAATGAGTCTGGAAAGGCAGGTAGGTGCTGTTCAAAAAGGTGTTATGAGTCATGCTAATTTGCTTGGGTTTTGCTTTTAGGGAACAAAGGGGTGTTTTAAGCCCAGCAGGTGTGAACAGATGTGCATTGTAGGGAGATCATTTGAGAAGAACTGGAGAGGATGATTCAGAAAAGGTCAAGGTTGTAAGGAGGGGGTTGGTTAGAAGGTTGTTTAATAGAGCAAAACTTACAGAAACAAATTCACAGATCCACATATGAATACACAATAGCAAATTCCTTCATTTGTTGTTCCAACAACTTATGCACCATTGCATATTAATGGAAATAGTTTTATAGCATGGTGGCTAGAATTCCTTGAGGTGACCTTTAAGTTCTTGCATGAAGAGTATGTGATAGAATTAACGTGTTTGAACCAACATCATTAGCATATACATTTTCTGGCTACCATTCCCAGGGGATGACTATCATAACAGAAGTATATTTTATCACTTGATAATGCTGCAAGTTCAACCAAATTAATGTCTAGAAATGATATGTGGACAGAAAAAACCTGCAGCTCTCACCTAAGCTATCTATGTGGTCAAACTGGAGGGAAGTTGAAACATGACAAGAAATACTTCTTCAAATCCTAGGACTTCACCTCCAGAGTTTATTGCTAAATTTAATGCCAAGTCCTAGTGCCAGCTTTGAAAAGGAGGAAACATTTTTATGGCCAATAGTAACACCTGTTCTTATGCACTTGTTGAGAGATAGGTAATTATATTCCCTGAACTGGGACAACAACAATCACTATTGAACACAAGTAGGGAGTGACTCCTTCTGTGTGTTTATCGCCCTTCTCATCATATCCGGATCCCACTTGTGCCCTTGTCATTCTAGATCTTGCCTGTCAAAGGCTGGCTTTGTGCATTAATGGGTTAAACGAAAGTCTCCAAATAAGCTACTGCATTAGGATTATAGCATCCGCTTGGAAAAGGAGAATGATTTTTCTAAGACTTTGATTCATTGGAAATCTCTACTGTATTAGGGATTTGGACTGTCTTTTTTCAAGCCCTTTCTTCATGCTTCTAAAAATGTTCAGTTTTAACCCTCCTCCTGATCTGTTTGGAAGGAGGTAGTTATCTTCATTAAGTTCCATAGGATTTTCAGAAAGCTTTTTTCTCAAGGCGACTTTTTCTTTATGGGGGTCATGCTGTGAGTCAATTCTACACTTTGTCCAGAGTTTATGGAGCCCTTCACAAATGTGCAGAATTGGTGTCATTACTTTCTTGATGTAGCCTATAGCTCATAGCAGGGTCTTAAAACCCAGTTTAGAAATCCAATTTCATTTCCACTAAGTGTATCTTTTGTGTCCCTTTGTTTGGATTCTGTTGCATTGGTATTCCTGCATTTAGTGCTCCACTCTCTGGCACAGAGCATTTCCTTCTTTTTTTTCTCTTCTCCTCCCTGCTCATCCATGTCAAAAAACCTCCCTTTTCATGCTCTAACAATGCGTCCTTCCTTCCTCAAATATCTACAAAGACTCCCTGCCTGGCTCTTCACTGAACCGAAATATCTCTTGACCTTCCAATCCAGTTTCCTTTACTGCCACCACTATGTTATGTCTTCTTATTTCCTGTCCCTAGAAGAGCATTTCTGGATATATTCTTTGGTGTTTTATTGGCAAACTAATTCTTGATAAGCATTGATTAAACACCATTGAGGGTGAATACACAATGATTAATTCATGGACATGATGATGAATAAGATCTATAAAGAATCTATTTTTTGGGGACAAGGCTGAAGCATATACAATTTAGATAATGATATATAATTATATTATTCATAATTGCAATTTGTTTGCCTCATGTAGAAGTATTTGCACAGGGGACAATTATAGTATACTTAACTGAAAACAATACTTAAACTGTTGTCCCTATTTTAGGAAATAGCTTTAATTTCTACCCTGTATTAGACCTCTTGACAACAAATGCTTAATAGCAACTGAATCAAATAGTGTGATTCTTAGTTCTGTCTTATCAGACACATTATTTGATGGTGAGAAGTTAGAGATTAGAGAATAAGAGAAGAAAAACCAAAGGTTTAATTAATCTCATTTGTGTGGTCTTTCTCAAGATGGTATTTATTGCCCAAATAAAAGTATCTACATATTTTAATAGCAAGGAAGTG